AGAGTGGCAACGGAGACGCGGCGTTCTTCCTAACGAAAGCGAAGATGGCGATGATTGCAGCGCATTCCGCTAAGCGGGCGCGCCAGGCAGACATGAGAGAGTTTGTTATTGCTACGGAGTAAGGTTGAGGAGTACAGGTGTTGTAGCAATGGTTGTTTGCTTGTCTTCCGGTGCGCTTCCTGTCGTGCTTTTCGTTTTGTTGTGTGTTTCTTGTAATATCCAAGGGGGTGCGCCAGGCAGACATGAGGGAGTTGCTGCTGCGTTGCGAGGGCGGCGGGCACAGCTGTGGTAGGTAGCAATAGTTGTTTTTTTTTCTCGCGGTGCGCTTCCTGTAGTGCTTGTGTTCTTCGGGTTGTTTTGATTCTTTCTTGCAACATCCAAGGGGTGCGCCAGGCAAACATGAGAGAGTTGCTGCTACGTAGTGAGGGCGGGGAGAATATCTGTGGTAGTATGTAATGGTCGTTTATTTTTCGTGCGGTGCGCTTCGTGTCGTGGTTCTCTGTTGTCTTGTTTTATCTGGCAACATCGAAGGAGGGCAACGAGGACTTATACGTCCACGGTAATACACACATATTCGATCCACGATCCACATCGTACTCTGTTGGCCCCGCAAAGCTTGAGCGCTGCACCATGAAATCAACACCTCCTCGATAGTGCCGATCCGGCACTATTGAGGGAAATCCGAAGCCTCAATAGTGCCGGTCCGGCACTATAGAGGGCCCCTTACTGAATACTGCCGGTGCCCGGTATAGTGCCGCTTTGCTCTCTGAACACATACCGGCACTATAGAGGGCCCCCTACTGTATTGTGTTTTGGGGGTCGTTGCCATATTAAGTCACTCGTTCACACCCGGTTTGTCCTCTCTTTGCGGCGTCCTTCAACTGTCATTTGGGACACGTGTGTGTCGGTTTGGTTCTGCTGCTGCTGTGTTCTTTTTTTGACCTCGTCCACACCGAGTGGCCAACTTTGGCACGTGTTCAGACCATCTACCACGCATCTCCTCCTCTACAGCTCGCGGCTTTCACAATCTGCATATCACAGAGGGTGTTCGCGTGTGGTTTGCAGACCACGACAAGGCGTAGTGAGGAGGGGCTCGCGATCGGCGACAAATCGCGTGCTAGTTCAAATATTCTGCTGCTGCTGTGTTCTGAGTGGTGGGGCATTTTTTTCTACTTCTTCGTTTATTAACGCATACGGAGTGCTGACAACAACGATTCGCATCAACAACAACATCGCATCAACAACATTTCGAGTGTGTGTACCAAAACAAAAGCAACACATATTCACGGGGGGCGCACGACCCAGCCTACTGCAGGTACTTTCCGCAGCACGGGATATGCTGTTGTGATGGTGCGCGCGGAAAAAACTCCCCCCACTCGGGGTCTAGTATTGTGGGCCCTCACATTGCGTACGCAAGTGGCCGTCGCGACTGCCGATTGCACAAGCAAGTGTGTGTGTGTGGCGTGAGGAGCGCAGCAGTGACGGTGTGTGCTCGAAAAGTATGCTCGACATTCAAATTTTAGACTACATTTTGTACTGCTTTTGGAAGGCCCTAGGCAGCAGGGGCAAAACGGACCGCCGTTGCATTTGCTGTGAAAGAAACGCTGACTAACCCATGGGACAGCCAGACCTCATGTGCACACTCGCGACGGCGCGCGACTGCTAACATCAACAGACCAGGCGTTCGCTGTCGTGGCAAGGCGTGTGGCGCGCACCGTCATGCGCAAGCGACCGTCATGAATTTCGGGGAATTGCCCATCATTCCTCTTGACCAATAACTACGATACTCATGCGTGAGGTGATATTGGAAAGGACCTTGTGCACAGAACCCTAACAAGTCACTCACGCACCTCTGCTTCAGTCAATGGAGCGCTGGCTGGCCGTGTGACAGCGCCCTCGCGAGTTGAACAATGCAGCAGAAAGCAAAAACAGCCTGTACTCGAAATCCTGGAACCACGCAACGGACCTAAATGCAGTTGGGTTACCCGATGGGGTGAACCAAAATTGACAGGGAATAGGGGTGTGAGTATTTCGGGCGATCGCCCATGTGTGGGCAATCCATAGATGATGTGCAAGGTTTGGGATCAGCACTACGGTGAGGGTTGTAGCAGAATAACCCAAACCTCTGCGCGGGGAGACTGCTTCCGGATGTGATTCCAGGATTTGGGCCTGCTTTCCCGGTCTCTCACCTGACTGTTGTGAACTGTGCACGCGAGCTTCCGCCGCAATCTCCGAAAGGGCACCGTAGATCTCGTAGATCGCGGGAGCTAGAACGCCGCGCAGGATACCATGAAAACATGATGTACCACTCGCACATTTACGAGAGAAGGTCAACCCGGAGAGATCTGACAACACAGTCCGCGGGAGAAATTCACGGACATCACACTTGGCTTGGCGAACGATTTTTGAGTACTGGGGTTGCTCGTGAGAGGTGAGAGAGGCACCACTACCGTGGTTGAGTCACATGGCTTCCAACTATGTAACCAGCGTGCATCTGCCCTGGAACCGAGGGCAGCGTCCATACCAAGCGGGCTCGACACGCATCGGGCTCGTCACCGTGTATACGATGCAACCATGTTGATGTTGATGATGAAACAAGCGTCTTGAGTTCAGTCGTAGTGACGCTCGGCAAGTTGTACAGCTGCTCATGGCATTCTAAGGCGACGAACCATGTCACTTCGCATGCATAGTATCTGTGATTCATTTTCGAAGGTGTTGTGTTGGTACGCTTATTCGTATTGTGTCCTTTCTCAAACCGAAGCGGGGTTTCTGCTTCATCTGGTCCTCTCCCTTGGGTTGTCGTTGTCTGCACTGACTGCTGTCTCAGTCTCCGTCTCTCGTACCCGTGTGACTTCCGCAACACCGCATGGGCTACAGCTACGATCTGTTTTTGTCGGGAACCTTCATCTTCCTGTTACCGCCTCCAACATCGTGAAAACACTTGCAGGCGAAGTGGGTCCCTTGTTCTTTGGTTGTCGAGAACACAAGAGACATTTGTGAGCACCATGCGGCCGTACGAGACGTTGGTGCGGAAGCTATACCAGGTGATGGGCGGGCGTTGCGACAGGCGCCGGTAATGTAGTTGGGTTCAACGACGATTTTCGCGATTTCGGCCACTCTAATTCCCACGACGAGAAAATCGCCACCTGGCATGTAGGATTTTTTTCCTGGCCGTGTGTTGCCTCCCTCTTGCTCATGGTTGGAATGGATTGGACGCCTTCTGTGCAGCAGATTCTTCTTCCAGACAGCTGTGCTTGGGCAGCGTCTGTCTCTGCCCTCGGCCGTGGTTCCGGGCGTTGAATGAATACTGCGGTTGTGTTGACGGTGGTTTTCTCCGTTTTCTCCCCATCCACCCACCGCCGTCGTTGCAGGTCAACCTGTTTCATCCCGTCAAGATGGGCCTGACCAACATCACGAGGCTGCACGAGGCTCTCGGCAGCCCCGCCGACGGGCTGCCCGCGGTGCACATCGCGGGTACCAACGGAAAGGTATGCTGCTGCTGCTGCTGCTGCTGCTGCTGCTGCTGCTGCTGCTGCTGTGCTGTTTCTAGTGCCACTGTTGATGCTGCAGCTGCTGCTGCTGATCGTGCCCCCCACACCGCTGTTGCCATTGCCGATCGCTGCTCTTGTGTGAATCGATGCTGCCAGCCTTGGTGTACCTGTTGTCTTATGGCGCAGTTGTGGATGCGATTTTTCTGTGAAACATGTTTCAAAACGGTTGACCCTGGCGCTCTCTGTTCCCGTGTTAAGGCAGCGGTGCTCCTGGTGAATGTTTGTTATCCGCGCCGCGCGTACTCGCTGTACCCTCTCAACAACCACACCGTATCCGGTCCTACCCGCTTCCAACAGGGATCCGTGGCGTTCAAGATGGCGCGCTCTCTCCAGCTCGGGGGCCTCAAGACGGGGCTGTTTGTGTCCCCCCACATGTCGTGCTTCCGAGAGAGGGTGCAGGTGGATGGGGCTTTTATCCCGGAATCGAGCATCGAGGACATCTTGCCCAGGGTGAGAGATAAAACCTTATTATTCGAATGTGATTACTGTTTTAAGCCTGCGATTGTCGTTGTTGCTCTCGTACGGCAATTGGTACCGTTTCGGTGCCCCTCGGGTGTCGTCGACGTCCCGCCTACTTTTACGCCTCCCTCCTTTCCCTGTGCTTCAAGAATGGTAAGCCAGAGAACTCTGACGAGTGGACGGTGTCGAAAAGCTCGCCAAATTTTGAACTCTCTCTCTCTCTTTCTCTCTCTCTCTCTCTCTCTCTCTCTCTCTCTCTCTCTCTCTCTCTCTCTC